AGAGGCAATTTATTTAGAGCTTGCTATAGCAAGGCAGTTAGCCCCATCACTTGCGTTTGATAGAGACTTATTGGCAGGCAGGTGAGTTGGAAAATTTTATAGTGAAAAAGGGGAAGACTTCAGGTATGTCTGATTGGAAGTTGCTGGCACAGGGAAGCTGTATGTGGACCAACTAGATGTGGGGCATCCTACGTGATTGGTTGGTTTGTGCACCTTGTATCTTAGGCATAACATATTTGGCTTTTTCTGGTTGGTCCTGAGTTGGAAGTGAGGGTGAAAATTAGAACTCCTGGCAGGTGTTGAACAAATCTGGACCATTTTGGGCCAGTTACTGCAGAGACTGTGGTTTGGCTTCTGGGATAGTTGCTGCAGAGGTTGTGGGTAAGATTTTTACTGTCATGTGTGGTCTGGACACTGTTCATTTGTATTTTCAGTCTCTCAGATCCTATTATCCACTTGGCTACAAAGGAGTCCAGCTCTCTAATGGCATTTCCTGCCCTTACCTTGGCCTACTGGGCTTCTCAATGACCCTGGTGCCTCTTTAGGGCATTTGTTTGTTACGCAGTGTCCCTCGAGGCCCTTCCACACATCATAGTAGCTGATGTATTTGATAGCCTTAGGTAGTATATCCACTGTATCATATCCACTTCTCTGGACGTTTTGATCCTTTTCTCTGCTGTCTGCCTTGGCAGTTATGGCATTCCTACTTAGTGTGGGACATCTTTTTCTCTAACCGTGCAAGATCCACCCATCAGATTGTTAGCACTGTCTTACAGCATCCTTGCCAGGGTGTTAAATCATGTATATTGGGAGACTGCTTCTAAATTGATACACTCTCCCTTCTCTAGGCTGACATCTAGCACTCTCAGTCTTATACTTGACTCATGCTGGTATATGTTGGGTAACACTCACAGCAATTCTAGGGCATACAGAGCCCCTTTCCTTAGTTACAGGCCAGTATTTCCCTGGCTGGGTTATAACATGCTTTAGTTACTGGCCTGAGGCAAAGAGAGGAGGTGAAGGTAGTTCCTGAGGTGGGTGCATGTTATCTTGCTAGGCAGAGGCTTCTGCATCATCTTATGCAGGGGTGGAGTGCCAACCTTTAATAGAGAGGAGTAGGCCACTTCTGCAGGCCGAGAGGATGGAAGGGAGTTTGGGATTCAAGATATTCAAGTGAATCTACTTGGTTATTTTCATCCAACGTTTCAGGGCCCGATCTGGGCTGGGACCTCACCATTACAGACTTTCCAAGTTTGAGAATTCAGCCTTTATACCGCCACTATCCTTGCGGTAAATTCTGGGCCAGATCCTCAGTTGCTTTCCCCCCTATTAGCTACAGGAGATGAAAAGCTATTTGTATGCTGCCAGGGAGAATGTCTATATTTCATATTTGGGTTTTATTGGTAATTAGTCACCGTCCGACTTTCACTTTCTTTCTCAAATGCATTTATTGTCCCAAAAAAAGCTATTCAATTCCCCATTATTTATAACTATCATGCATATAATTACTCTGTGCCCCCAATTTTTCTAATGCCTGGGATTCTGCCAATGCCAGTATATTGCCTTCTTCCAGAGTCCCAGTTAGTTTGCCATTGATTAAGATCTTATCTGCTTTCCTGTAACACGCCATGGGCTATTCATGCTCCATGGTTCAGCTCTGAAATCCAGTTTAGTGGCTACTTCCTATGACGACCCCTGGCACCAGCTATCTTAAGTTGGCTTGGGAAGACTTTGCCATGGAGATATGCATGCAGAAATTTTGGGGAACAAAGAAAATATGACAGGACAGATAGAGGAGTTGAACTGGGATGCAGCTGCAACAAAGCCTCAGCCAACTCACTGAGAGCCCTAGAATTGGGATGATTCTTCAGAGTTGTCTCAAAGCAAGTGAGCTGGGCCTGTATACCCTCTACTTGAACAGTTATTGGCATGAATTATCCATGGAGGCTGAGGATAGTTGGAGAGCAACTGAATTTAGCTGCTAATACTCCCAGCGGTCTTGATGGGGTTGGGACTATGAACAGTCCAGCCCAGTGTCACTACTGCATTGAAATTGGAAGTTGGGCCATGTATGATTGCTTGAGGATGGGAACTGTGATTTTTGGGTTGCAAATCATATGAGATGAGCTCCATAACGTCTGGCTCTGAGTCTTGACCCTTAGGGAGCAAGAAAGAGGCAAATGTAAAATTCAAATATGGAGCAGACATGCCTGTAATCCCACTACTTTGGGAGGCCAAGGTAGGAGGATTGCTTGAGCCCAGGAGTTTGAGATCAGCCTGGGCAACAGGGAAGATTCTCTCTACAAAAAATAAAAATATAAAACCCTAGCCAGGCATGGTGGCACATGCCTATAGCCCCAGCTACTGGGGAGGCTGAGATGGGAGGATTGCTTGAGCATGAGAGGTCAAGACTACAGTGAACTGTGATCATGCCACTGCACTCCAGCCTGAGAGACAGAGTGAGACCCTGTCTCTACAAAACAAAACAAATTTGGAACAGAAAATGAATTCACATTCAAAATATGTCCACATACCAAAATTTTTGCCCAGGGGAAAATCAGTGTCATTAAATGCTACCAAATAATTGGAGATGTTATGCCTGAGGAATTATAATTATTGAGCTAATTAATATAGAATTTAAAATAAGAATATTTAATTCTTCTAGAGATAAAGGAGGAGATAACATCTGTGAAACTAGAAACGTTTATATGACATTGACTAAAAGTTGTGAAATAAGAGCAAATAGATATAAAAAACCAAGTAATCAGAAGTCTTGAAAATGAAAAATGCAGTATTTGAAATAAAGTCTTATAAAGAACAATAAATGAATTTTGAAAACAGACAGTGACAGAATCAGTTAATTGGAAGAGCAAAAGTGTGCTATGATACAGGGTATGAAAATATAGATATTAAGAGATCTGGGAGAGGGCATTGATTAAGCAGCACCATTTCTGTTAGGAGTTTCAGAGATTGGAGAGAGGTTTAAACGTGCAAGAGATATATATGTTTTGAGATCTTATGGGAGAATTAATTTTCCATCTATAGAAAGCTCACTGAGTTGCAGCTGCCAAAAATCTACCAAAAAACACATCAGGTTTTGTGAAACCATAGGGCATCAAAGTCAAGAAAAATACTAGTGTAAGCAGCCTAATCCTGTCAAAGGAATGGCAATACAAATGACATCTTCTCACCTGCAACAATAAATGTCATGGAAAATAACAGAATTATCTTTAAAGTAGTGAGAGAGTATAGGATTTATTTTAGAATTCCAAACCCAGCTACCATACTACAAGTTTGAAGGTGTAATTGAAATATTTGCAGACATACGAACCCAAGATTTACCACATAAACCATAGCTGAAAGAAATCTTAAAAAGTATACCATGGAAAGAAGACAAATGAGGCCAGACTAAAGGAGTGGAATGCAAGAATAGAAAGTGAGCAAATTAACTGGTAAAGCATGTTGGAAAATCTAAATAATAATTGTTGATGTTCAACAGAAAAAAAAAAAACTAGCATCTCATAGGGTTTAACTTTATCAGCAATAATTTATTTCATTACAAAAATGAGGCAAAACTGGCAAAATAATGACATTTTAAAATTAGTGTGTTATAAACTATCACAAGAACAGAAAACCAAACACCGCATACTATCACTCATAAGTGGGAGCTGAACAATGAGAACACATGGACACAGGGAGGGGAACATCACACACCGGGGCCTGTCGGGGCTGGGGAGATGGGGAGGGATAACATTAGGAGAAATACCTAGCGTAGGTGACGGGTTGATGAGTGCAGCAAACCACCATGGTACATGTATACCTATGGAACAAAACTGCACATTCTGCACATGTACCCCAAAACTTAAAGTACAATAAAAAAATTAGTGCTGTATATGGTTATGTAAAACAAACAAACTAAACATTCAAAAAAAGGCAAAAAACAAAACAAAAAACCCAAGGTGGAGTTAGAATCATATAAAATACTGTAGAATAGCAGAAATGCAAGGATACTTAGTAGTTAGAAATTAACACAAATCACCATGAGTTGATTCAAAAAGAAATTACAAAAAGTCATCTTATTCATACAGAAAAAAAAGTTTCTTAAATTTTTAACATTTAAAACCTTAAATGGACCCTGCAGTTACTGCCTTTCTCCTTCCACTTGTGTCTCCTCAGGTCCTCATAAAGCATCCAATTGTTTTAAATTGGACCAGCCCCAAAGCCTGGTCTCATTAGCACTCTTGCCAGGTTTCTGTACATACTCTCGCGGCCCAAGGTTCCATCTAGCTATTGTATCGTATTATTGTATACACACAAATAATTAAATGTCAACATTTAAAACAAGTTGATAACATCTTTGTAGTAACTTAGGCAAAAACAAAGCAAAAATTCAACACTTTTTCATGATCTGAAAGACTGAAAATTAACTGCTTCAATAGATTACGGGTTATCTAACAACCATGTAAAGATCATACTTTATGGTAAAATTTAGAAGCATTAACACAAGGCATAAAACAGGAATGCCCGTGTTAACCATACTGTTCAACCTGGACTTGAAGTAATATCCAATATAAAAGATTAAGGAAAAATAAGATGTAAGAAGTTTGTCAAGAGACAATATTCTCATTATTTGGAGATATTATTTTTATCAATCAATCGAGAATCTACACATACGCCATTAAAGAAATTCAGTAATTGCGTTTGATACAAGATCAATTAGGAAACATATTATTTCCGGCGGGGGGCGGTGGCTCATGCCTGTAATCCTAGCATTTTGGGAGGCTGAGGTGGATGGATCACCTGAAGTCAGGAGTTCGAGACCAGCCTGGCCAACATGGTGAAACCCGTCTCTACTAAAAATACAAAATTAGTAGGGTGTGGTGGCGCATGCCTGTGATCCCAGCTACCCGGGAGGCTGAGGCGGGAGAATCACTTGAACCTGGGAGGCGAAGGTTGCAGTGAGCTGAGTTTGTGCCATTGCACTCCAGCCTGGGCAACAACACTTGTGTCAAAAAACAAACAAACAACACACACATACACACACAGAGTCTTAGAATTATAAGCTTTTCCAGGATAAAATAATTATATTAAAAACATATAAGAAGTAATGAATGAAAAAGAGCTGGCTCTAATAGTTGGGGGAAAATAAAGCCCAATAACATAAACAATTTGCTAAGCCAATCATGAAAAAAAGGAGGGTACATGATCATTATTTCCAGTTCTGTCTGTTTTGCAAACAACAAACATTTGTCCAGGTACAACTATTTGCAAGCTCCCCCCAAAGGGTTCAGGCCACCATAGAGAAAAATTCCATGGTGAGAAGGTGGTCATAAACTAGCCCAGAGACTAGGGCCAAAACCCGTTAAACAAAATAAATGTAATTATTTTTAGTAATTAACTTGGGAGAAAAGGCGTGCCACGGTAAGGTGCTGGGGAAAGGGCGGATTTTTAGAGAAAATTGCTGGAACTGAGGTTTAAAGCAAAACTGGGGGAATGGAGCTGCCTAGGGGTGACTTCCATACAAAACAGGCCCGATGCAGCAATCTCACAGTCTGAAAGTAGACTGTATTTCAACTAGCATAGTTTTATGCCAAGGAGGATCTTTTTTTCCAGACTTTCTAAGTCAGCCACTGATCCAAAATTCTGCAACGCAGCCTGTATCAAAAAAGCATCTATCCGTCATCCACTCTCGGAGATCCTTGTAGGTTGCACAACATCCACACAACGGCTATCAGGAGACAGTCGCCTGGAGCCCAGTAGCGTGGCAAGGGATTGTGGGAGGCAGCTCATTCCTGGAACAGGCGTCTCCGGGCCTTGCACGGAGGGCGCTCTGGGAGCTTCGGGCGCTCGTGGGGACCCGGACTTGGAGAGGGAGGTAGAGGTTGGAGAGGTGAGCTGGGGACAGGCTCCAGAAGGTGGAATTCCGGGTCGAAGATGGGGCTTGGAGAGCGTCTCTCTGAACTGGGGTTGGAGGCCGGAGCACAGGGCCCTGGGATGGGGCCCTCCCGATAGGGGCTGAACATACTTCTAGCGGAGGGGTAGAGCCCAGCGGCTGAGCCGGATGCGGAGTCCATGCGGAGCTCCGGGAATTCAGAGTCCGCCTCCTCCTCGTAGGCCTCTTCCTGGGCAGCGATCTCTGGGACAGATGCGCAGAAGACTTCCTGCTGGACGACGACGTCTTCCCCGTGAGCGCCCAGGAAAACGTCCACTTCCAGGCCGGCAGACGAGTCGCCCTGCGCTCCTGAGCGTTCGTCGACGGAGCTTAGGAGGACCTCCGGGATCAGGATGAGGGTGTGTCCACCAAGAGACACTCGCAGGACCGACATTGGCGCGAGCTCCAGCACCAGGTCGACGTTCTCCAGGGGCACACGCAGGGCACAGCCCGCGGCCAGGACCACCACGGAGGTGAGCGCGTCCACGGCCGGGATCCCCGCCGGGTCTTCCGGGCTGGGCGCCGCGCGGGGTTCGGGGCCCGCGGGCTCCTCCAATCGGCTGCGCTTGGCAGGGCCTGGTCCTCCTGGCTGCTGTCCCCACCAGGGCGCAAGGCAGGCGCTGGGACTGCGGGGCCGGCTGCCCATCACCTCGACGGCGCTGCGGACGGCGCTCCTGGGCCTGGCAGAGGACGTGGGGGCAGGGGGCGCGGGCGGCGAAGTCCTCTTTGAGGTAGCAGGTGTCAGTGGTAGGCGAGGCGGGTTGGGACGGACGGGGCTCAGGACCGCGCGACGTGGGGCGAGTCCTCGGAGCCCTGGGGGCGCCTCCCGGAGATCGGAGTCCGTGCTACTGGTGGAGCCTCGCACGCTGTGGAGCTCAGCCTCGAGCGCTGGAATCTTGGGCCTTCCTGACGCAGACCCGGATGCTCACTGCAAAGCCAATTATGTTGTAAATGACGGCAGCTGAACCGAAGTCGCAAAATGTCACGCAATCCTCCGCCCCCTGGAGGACCCGCCCTAGAGGCGGAGGTACCCCTGCTGCCCAATAGCGGTGGCTGTGGTTGGTCGGTCACGCTGGGGAAATACTCCTACGGGCCGCTGGGGGGCCGAGCATCTGTACCGCTCTAGGGCCTGGCTTCCAGTATCAAGTTCTTGTCCTTTGCGTTGACCTCAGACGCGGAGCTGCAGACCGATTCAGGTTCACTTAACACTGGTGGAGGGCCAAACCAGCACACCGAGTCCTAAATCCATCCTCCCAGGCCCCGTCCCGGAAGTGCCCTGTGCGTTACTGTTGACGAATAGTGGCGTGCGTTTTTCGGTTCTCCTAGCGTGTACATCGATGTAATATCTTTTTAGGGGTCTTGGAAGGGAGAGTAAAGCTGGGATCCTGCGTGACGGTGGCAGCCCCTGCATTATCTGTTTATTACAATAATTGGTACTATAGTAATTAAAGTCTTCCCTTGATATCCCTGGAGGATTGGTTCCCAGACTCCCGCATGGATACCAAAATCTACAGATGCTCAAGTCTCATATAAAATGGTGTACATTTGCGTATCACTAACATCCTTCCACTTATTTTAAAGCATCTCTAGAATACTTATAGTACGTAATACAATGTAAATACTATACCCCTGGTTGCTACACAGATATATATATTTATTATATAGTTTGTTTCTGAGATGGAGTTTCATTCTGTCGCCCATGCTGGAGTGCTGTGATGCAATCTCTGCTCACTACAACCACCATCTTCTGGGCTCAGGTGGTCCTCCCACCTCAGCTTCCTGAGTAGCTAGGATTACAGGCACGTTCCACCACACTTGGCTAAGTTTTGTATTTTTTTGTAGAGACAGGGTTTCGCCATATTGCCCAGGCTGGACTCGAACTCCTGGGCTCAAGCTATCCACCCGCCTTGGCCTCCCAAAGTGCTGGGACTACAGGCGTGAGTCACCGTGCCCAGCTTTATATATATTGTTTTTTTATTGTGTTATTTTCCATTTTTTCCCGAATATTTTCGGTCTTCTGTTGGTTGAATCTGCGAATGCGAAACCCGTGTTTCCAGAGGGCCAACTCTATTATGCTACAGTCAGCTGAAGTATGGTTAACTTTATCTAATTTGACCTAAACTACAGCTCTGAGGTCTGTTTTAGCCCAATTTATAGATGATGAAAATGTCATGCAGAAAGGTTAACCAACTTGGCCAAGAGCCAGGAACTAGCAGAACGGGGTCTGGCTTGTCCAGCTCCATTTAAGGTGATACACCTACACAATGTCAGCGTTTTTGACCTGTGTCAGCTGAAAGGCACCTCTGCGTGGCATGTCCAGGCGGTAAAAGGGAAGGTGTAGCTCTGTAGTAGGACGAGCCGCAGACAAAACTGCTCGCTCCGGCCGAACAAAAAACCTCTTCCTTCTTTAATCCGGTGTCTGAGGAGTTATGTCTGCCGCTCGTCCTGCTACATTTCTTGGTTCCCTGACTGAGAATCGAACCTGGGCCGCGGCGCACCGCCAAATCCTAACCACTAGACCACCAGTGTTAATAGGAGAAGATACCTAGCTCTGAGTTTGGAATAGGTAATATTTTCAAGTGCTTACGGGGGACAACAAAGCATTTCCTGACATCCTTGCTAAGCATGTAATGTCCCACCTTGGCGGGAACCATTATTACATTTTATCATTCCAGAGTATTCTTGGGCATTTAAAAGCAAATCTCATACATGTTATTTATCTCCCTTCCCTTTCTACAAAATTTATTCTTTTTTAGGGTTGCATAGCATTCCTTTGGATAGTCTTTACATTTAAATGAAGTCTCTCTTGCTGGACAGTGGTCTGTCATCACTTGGTGGCACTGTTATCCTCTGGTAGGTTAATGGAAAATGCAGATTATTTGCCCCATCCTAGAGCAACTGAAGTACAATTCTTGGAACGTGGGGCTTAGGTATTCTATGTGAGCACCTCCAAAAAATTCTGTTTTACTCCATGATCATTGGACTTGTTTTCATTTCTCAGTTGAGGAGTTCATGAAACCCGGCGGCTCATGCTTGTGATCAGGGACCTGCTTGTTGGTGTCAGTGTTATGGAGGGAACTTCAACTTTCTGGGCAGCGTTCAGTACTTTTCTTAGCACAACTGGCCCGCTGTGGGTGGTTTATAGTGGCTGCCCGGTGGCTGCATAGTGGGGAATTCTCCTGGGGTCAATTGGCCTGGGACTGGGCACTGACCAGGGTAACCAGGGTCGAGGACTGCGTTGGACGGCCCTGCCGGGAACCTGTGGTTCCTGCGGACACCTCCTGTCGGGAGAGTGTGGGTGCAGCCGGAACTGCCTCCAGTTCCTAGGTGAAAGAAATAGCGGCTCAGCGCAAGCATCCAGGCAGAAGGCGGTGGGGGTGGAGCCTGCGGGAAACTGCCTGCTTTGGTCCGGTAGAGTTTTGTCTGGACCCTTGAACCTTCTTGCAGAGAACAGTGGGGGCACCACTCAGAAGCGAGGGTGGACGCGTCATGATGTATGGGGTAGATGGGCAAGCACAGATTCTGCCAGCCTACTGGGAGTGGGGCTTGGGGTTTCTGGCTAGGCCTCCAGCTCTGAGCAGGGTCGTGCCTGTGGCTTGAGTGGTGCCACCTCGTGTCTGCTGCTTTCCTGACCTCAGCGGTCTCACCTGAGAGCTCCTCAGTGTCCTAGGCCTTGTGATTTAACCCAACACTTTGCTTGCTCCGAATCCTGCCTGTGAGCTCTCTTTCCAAGTGAATGTGGTCCTGCTCCAGGACAGTAGGAGTTAGCAGGGGTCCTGGAGCAGACACATCTGGCTTTCTCTCCTGGCTGGCCACAGTCTAATTGGGTGATCATGGGCAAGTCACTTCACCTCCCCTAAACTTCAGTTTCTTTATATGTAAAATGGGGAGAATGCCATCTACTGTGGCATCTCAAGTGATCTTCTTGCCTCAACTTCCCATAGTGCTTGGATTATCACATATTCTTTATCCATTCATCCATTGATAGGCATTTAGGTTGATTCTGTATCTTTGCTATTGTGAATTATGCTGTAGTAAACATGTGAGTGCAGGTATCTCTTTGACGTACTGATTTCTTTTCCTTTGGGTAGATACCTAGTGGTGGGATTGCTGGATTGAATGGTAATTCTATTTTTAGTATTTTGAGAAATCTCCATACTGTGATCTATAGTGGCTATACTAGTTTACATTCCCACAGTGTACAAGAGTTCTCTTTTCTCTGAATCCTCACATCATCTGTTATTTTTTGTCTTTTTAGTAATAGCCATTCTGATTGGGGTAAAATGATATCTCATTGTGATTTTGATTTTCATTTTCTTGGTGATTAATGTTGAGCGTTTTTTTCATATACTGATTGGCTGTATGTCTTCTTTTGAGAAATGTTTATCCATATCCTTTGCCCACTTTTTAATGGGACTATTTTTTTCTTGTTGAGCTATCTGAGTTCCTTGTATATTTTATCTATCAGTCCCTTGTAGGATGAATAGTTTGCAAATACTTTCTCCCATTCAACAGGTTGCCTTTTCATTTTGTTGATTATTTCTTTTACTGTGCAGGGGCTTTTTTTGTTTAATTAAGTCCTATTTGTCTATTTTATTTTTGTCTTCTATGCTTTTGATGTTTCAATGATAAATTCTTTGTCTAGACCAATGTCCAGGAGAGTTTTCTCAAGTATTTTTGTAGTTTTGGGTCTTACAGTTAAGTATTTAATCCATTTTGAGTTAACTTTTGTATATGGTGAGAGATAGGGGTTCAGTTTTATTGTTCAGAATGTAGCTATCCTATTTTCCTGGCACCGTTTATTGAGGAAGGTGTCCTTTCCCCACTGTAAATTCTTGTCAGTTCTGATGAAGATCAGTTGGCTGTGAATATGGTGGCTTTATTTCCAGGTTCTCTATTCTGTTCCATTAGTCTATGTGTCTATTTTATGTCTTTACCCTGCTGTTTTGGTTACTATAGCCTTGTAATATATTTTTAAGTCAGGTAATTTGATTGATGCCTGCAGCTTTGCTCTTTTTGCTGAGGACTTTGGCTATTTGGGCTCATTTTTGGTTCTATATAAATTTTAGGATTTTTTTTCAAATTCTGTGAAGAGTGATGGTATTTTGATAGGGATTGCATTCAATCTGTAGAATGTTTTGGGTAATATGGTCATTTTATATTTTATTTAATTTTATTTAGAGACAGGGTCTTACTCTGTTGCTCAGACTGGAGTGAAGTGGCATGATCACAACTCACTGCAGCCTCAAACTCCTGAGCTCAAGTGATCCTCCCACCTCAGCTTCCTGAGTAGCTGGAACTACCAGTGTGTGCCACCACATCCAGCTAATCTTTAAAATTTTTTGTAGAGATGGAGTCTCACTATATTTCCCAAGTTTGTCTCAAACTCCTCGTCTCAAGTGATCCTCTTGCCTCAACTTCCCATAGTGCTTGGATTATAGGCATGAGCCACTGTGCCTGGCCAATGTGATTATTTAAGGGTACTAGCTCTTTTGATCCATGAGCATGGCATGTTTTTCCATTTGTATTATCTTCAATTTTTTTTCATCAGTGTTTTGTAGTTCTCTTTGTAGAGATCTTTAATCTCCTTGGTTAAATTTATTCCTAGGCATTTTATTTTATTTTGTTCTTTATTCTTTTCTTTTTTTTTCAAATAGAGATGGGGTCTCACCGTGTTGCCCTGGCTGGTCCCAAACTCCTGGGCTCAGGCATTCCTCCCACCCTGGCCTCCCAAAGTACTGGGATTACAGGCGTGAGCCACTGCGCCTGGCCTATTTTTTTTTTTTAGTAGCTATTGTAAATGGGATTGCTGTCTTGATTTCTTTCTCAGCTAGATCATTATTGGTCTATGGGAATGCTACTGATTTTTGTATGTTGATTGTGTATCCTCAACTTTACTAAATTCATTCATCAAATGTAAGGAGTTTTTTTGGTACAGTCTT